TTTTACTCTCTCAATGTCCTGATTGTATAACTTCAATTTTATTTCCCTATTTACTTTATTTGTAAAAAGTATAAGTTTCGTTTTATCAACAGAAAATTTAAAACTCCATTTATAAGACCATTGCTCAATCTTATAAATTGCATTCTGTACCTTTTTAACAAGAATTTTTTCATTTTTTCCACGTTTCCATATAGCCCCATCATCAGCAAAAAGAGAGCAACCCATGTCATTCTCTATTTCCTCAAATATATCGTTAATCATAATTGAAAACAATAATGGACTGATAATACTACCTTGTGGAATACCATTATCAATATCAAAATTTTCTGATAAAGTCTGTCCAATCCTTACCTGTATTATCCGATCTACTAAAAAATCTTCAAGCCAATAATATAATCTGCCATTAATGCCAATATCCCTTAGTTTGAACATTAATCTTTCTTTCCACATCATGTCATAAGCTTTCGCTATATCTAAGAATACAGCCAGAACACTCTCTTTATTAACCTGAGCTTTTTTAATTTCATGTTGTAAACATAAGGCAGAGTCCATAGTGTTCCTTCCCCTTCTAAAACCACTTTGATATTTTAGCCAAGGAACCCTTAGTTTCTATATAAAATGTTATTCTTTCATTTACCATTTTCTCCATAATCTTACACAAGCATGATGTTAATGCAATCGGTCTATAGTTTACAGGATTTGCACAATCCTTCCCTGGTTTTGGAACTGGTATTACTACAGCCTCTTTCCAGCTTTTAGGTAATTTCCCACATTCCCATATTTTATTATATATTTCTAACAATATTTATTTTGAATACTCACTAAGTTTATTTATCATTACATATCCAATTTGATCTTTTCCTGGAGTTGACATTTTAACTTTCATTAATGCATATCTTAACTCAGAAATTGAAAAATACTTATTAATGATATTATTATTATTATCTTCTAAATGTATTGTCTTTTCTTTCCCTAATATGGTAGATCCTCTTCCCTTCCTCCACTCTTCACTAATGTTATTTGAACTATGGATA